GCTGAAAGGGGGTGTGATCTACCCCCATTCATCTCAAGTGGGGCTTGATTCGGAAGCCTAATGAAGGCAAGCTAAATATCAATATTGTTCACTATTTTCCTGTTGATCATTTTGACATAAGCACCCCCTCTTTGGGGGCAAGGTACGACCATGAATGTTTGTCCCGCAAGGGACCCGCTGCTCAGGACATTGGCAGTCAGATCCGGAGCCTTCCCATCTGACTCAGGCCAATATGGGCAAAACTTGTTACCAGCAGTTGGCTGTTCAGTGGCATGAAAGAAGCTGGCGGCTCCCACTTCAATATCCCCAGCTCAAAAGCAAGCACTGCGGCACCATGGCCCGTTCCCCTCTGGCTCCTCCCAACAGAAGCCAAGGAGCCTTGGAGAGTGAAATACCCTCTCAACTTCCTTCCAGTTAGGAGAGAGGCAAAATGGTGAGTGCCAAGGGAAGGCCTGAATGTGACAGCGTGCTCTCCCTTTCTGCCAGCCAGGCCTTGCAGCACATCAAAACCATCTGGAGCTATCCCCGGGGCTAATGCTGCAGCATCCCATGACCTTTCATGTCCCGCCAGGGGGCTGTGTTGTATACTGGGGCCATTTGTGCCCCAGTGGCATGACATGACACCACGAGTTCCCCGTCTTTACGCCATGGTTTACATTACCTGTGCTGGGCCACTCTCCCTTCCCGGCAGCCCAGCGGCAGCACCACACTGCAGACTCTGAGGGGCAATGTGAAACCCCCTCTCCAACAACGGGCAGACCAGCTCGCGGTGCTATTGACCCGGGAGGCCTACACAGCTGCAAAGGACTTAATGACTCTGCCAGTACGTGCCTTGTCACCATATTGCACTGGCTAGGCAGCAATTCTGCAGAAAAGGACCTGGAGATTACAGTGGATGAGAAGCTGGATATGAGTGAGCAGCGTGCCCTAGATGCCAAGAAGGCTAACGGCACACTGGGCTGTATTACTAGGAGCAGCGTCAGCAGATCGAGGGAAGTGATTATTCCCCTCTATTCGTCATTGGTGAGGCCACACCTGGAGTACTGCATCCAGTTTTGGTCCCCACACTACAGAAGGGATGTGGACAAATTGGAGAGAGTCCAGCGTAGGGCAACAAAAATGATGAGGGGCTGGGGCACATGACTTACAAGGAGAGGCTGAGGGAACTTGGCTTGTTTAGTCTGCAGAAGAGAAGAGTGAGGCGGGATTTGATAGCAGCCTTCAATTACCTGAAGGGGGGAGTCCAAAGAGGATGGAGCTCGGCTGTTCTCAGTGGTGGGAGATGACAGAACAAGGAGTAATGGTCTCAAGTTGCAGTGGGGGCAGTCTAGGCTGGATATTGGGAAACACTATTTCACTAGGAGGGTGGTGAAGCACTGGAATGGGTTACTTAGGGAGATGCTGGAATCTCCATCCTTAGAGGTTTCTAAGGCCCGGCTTGACAAAGCCCTGGCTGCGATGATTTAGTTGGTGTTGGTCTGCTTTGAGCAGAGGGTTGGACTAGATGACCTCCTGAGGTCTCTTCCAATCCTAATCTTCTATGATTCTATGAAACTGCATTTGCCCTGCAGCATTGCACTGGTACCTTGCCATGATACAACCCAGCAACACACGGCATCAGGTGACTCTTTGGTTCCAGGAGCTAACATTGCTAAGTGGGCACCTTACACCAGCGCTTTGAAACAGACAGCAACAGGCAGTTCCAAAAGAAGAACCGACCCAGGCTTCCTCCTGAAACTCAAACCCATGTCTTTTTTGAGGTCCGCAAAAACAACATTCAATTCACGTTTCTTTGTGGGTTTGTTTCCACCGCTGCATTTCTATGATTCAGCTGCGACTGGAAACACCCAAATCATCATAACAAATATCTGGCTGTGAGCTGAGACCAGGTTGTTCTGTGAATCTAATGGGAGTTCTCTTTGCCAGGACTCAACTCACAGAACTTCAGCAAAGTCAGTGGAGCCCAAAGAATCCCTCAGTGCTTTCCCCATTTTCTGCTTCTTCACTGTGGGCCAAATGAACTCTTAGTTTCACTCCGGCACCTCCCATGAAATCACAGCCCGAAATGCACGCCTGAGGGGGGGCAGGGGGTGTCCAGCTCTCAGGATTGCCTCCAGAATCTCAGGACTTGAGTGTGGAGGCCACAGGAGACACGGCTACAGTATTGCTGCCATGCAAGTGACGCTACAGAAGGAGGAAAGAACCTATCCAGGCAGCCACAAAGACGGTTTCTGAGCCCCACTTGTGCCTGGCTTCACTTAGTCAGAAATGTGTAATTGTCCCCATTACAAATCATTTCATGTTATCTTTCTCCCATGTGGTGTCAGCCAAGGAGAACATCATGGGCATTCCAGTCTCCCACCAGGGGCAGATTCTGAGCTACCTCAGGGCTGGATCTTTCCCTTTGGCAATGACAGCAAGCTGAGACAAGCGGTGACAGCCCCAATGGGAACATTAAGAAAAATGTATTTGTAAACTCCACTGGTTTGTCATCCGGAGCAGGTCCTGGAATAAGGCACTCTGCAGATCACCCCTGGTCCTGCCTGCCTGGATCAGGGCCGGAGTCCAGCTACCAAGACTCACGCCCTCCACGTTGGCTTCATCCAACCTTCCATCATGACAGCACCTTCTGTTTAGGCTGCCTTTGCCCAGCTACCGAGGCTCAGGCCCAGCCGAGCCCCACGCCAAGGTGGAGCCAGCTCCAGAGGTGCAGGGCCCCTAGAACGGGGGCTGCAGGGGGATTCGCAGGGGTGGCAGTGAGGAAATGCCAAGACTGTGTGAAGCGAATGGCCAGGCAGGCCCTCTCCCTTTAATTGGTGCTAATTGCTGCATCTGTTCGGGCTGGCTAGCAAGATGTCATTGTTGAAAGGCACAGAGGGGAAGACTTGAGGAGCTAATCCGGCTTTCAGCCGCTAAACCCTTCGGAGGCGTGTGATGGAGGAGTTCTTTCAGGGCCCTTCACAGAGGGCACAAAGCCTGAGAGGGGAAAGGGATGCAGAGGAGATGGAGACCACAGGAAAAACTTTCACACGGCAGCTCTGCTAAGCCGCCTTTGTGTGTGTGGTGGGCTTGTCATGGACATCTTAAAGGGCCAGCGCTTCTCTCCCTCCTCCTCCCAGATTTTCTTTTCTCTATCTTTTCAGTTCCATCTGCCAAAGGACTGACCCCAATGGTGGTGGGGGTGGGAAAGAAGGAGCAATCTCCTTGTATATTTCTGGAAGGGATGGCGAACATTACCTGCCTGTGAGGGACTTTTTCAGCCTCCTCTCTCCTGGGGAGGTCAGAGGATACTCTGCTGTCTCAAGCATGGACATGGATGGTCAAGGACCAGCCACGCAGTTCAGTGATGCAATCAGAACCCAGAGGTGGGGGTGGGGGGTGGGGTGAGGTGGGGTGGGAGGTGAACCTCATGAGGTTCAGAGGTTGGGTTTGGAAAACATCCTCAAAACCCAGGCCCTGGTCTGAATCCCTCAGCCCCCGAGTCTCCTCTAGCTTATCAATCCACTTTATACTGACTCCAGTGGAGTTAGTCTGGACATATACTAGATAGAATGGATTGCTACAGCCAGGGCGACTAGCAGAAGCTATTCTTAAGCTTGCCCAGTTATTCCCATTTTAGTATTCTCTTTTCAGTTCATGATTTTCCTAAAGTTTCACTGTTCGGTCCAGAATTTACCAGATTTGGCTTCTTTTGGGGTCTGCTTGCTTGTTTGAGCAAAACTGATTCAACCAGTTTTGAGACTGAGGGGTTGGGGGGAACACACTGGCCTATACATTTTCAAAACAGCAACTAACTCTGTTCTTGGGAGCCCAGCTTTAGACACTGACCCACAAGCCATTATAAAAGTACTCTTGCAAGATTGTTTTGAACAGGAAGTTGGGTTCTAGCGCATATAAACAATACATTAAATATAAAAGAACCTAACAAGCTTCTCCAGTGTCCTCTAGACACATTCATTAGCCTCTCAAGTGGCTGCATAATCATATGGTTTTCTCCTTCCTCCTTTCCCTCTGGTTCCCCTATGAGACTCAGGTTTCAATTCTGATTTCACTTACACCAGAGTTACACTGAAGTAATCCAATTTGTTACACTGAGTAACTCGTCATTTACACCCAGTGTAAGCGAGAGCAGCATCAGGCCCTGATCAATTTTTAATTGTGTTGTAAAGTGCTGTGTTTGACATTTATGGCATCATTCAAGTAATAAATCGTAACAATAACTTCCCAGGGTACTTTGGTGCTTTTGCATCTGGCTGATTCATGGAAGATGCAAAGACACCTATGAGAATGAAGCATAATACAAGAGGGGGGAATGAGTTACTTGAGCTTTTCCAAACCTCTAAAAAGGTTGAGGTTTGTTATGAATTTTAGGTGCGGCTCTAATAGATGTGATGGCAGAGGGAATTTTTAATCTATCCAGCCCAAAGCAGCTGCTCTTTAGGAGAACCCAAGTGCTGTGCTCAGTGAGGGAGTAATTGCTCTGAGAAGCAGAACACTGGGCCAAAGTTGTTCCTGGTGTAACTCCACTGACCACTCTGGAGAGGCACTGTTACTGAATGTGAGACAGGGGATAGCTACACTGCAATCAGATGTGTGACTGCAGCACATGCAAACATACCTGAGCTGGCTTTGATCTAGCTGGCTCGAATAACAATAGCAGTGAAGCCCTGGGCAATAAAGCGGCCGCTTGAGTACATACCCAAAGTCCCAGCCGGCCTTGTGCAGCCCTTGCTGCCTCAGCTTCCCTACCGTTAGTACCCACGCTAGCTAGATCAATGCTAGCTCAGGTCTGTCTGTATGTGCTACAGTGTAGACATACCCACAGACAGATAGAAAATACTGAGCACTCATCCCTGGCATTGCTCCGTTGATCATTCTGGAGATACCATGTCGACGAGTGCGATATAAACAGAATGCTGTCTGAGTGAATCTGCCCCTGCTTCTCTGCACATGCTCCCAGATCTGATTGTGGTGGGCGAGGAAGAGGATCAATCTCTTACCTAGACACTCGTTGGCCTCCCTGGCGTTGGCCCTCTGCCACGGGCGGTCATAATGGAAGGGTTTGCAGCGGTCACACTCGGGGCCCTCAGTGTTGTGCTTGCAGTCGCACACCAGCTTGCCCTCCTTGTCCTTCATGCAGCGGGAGGCGTGCCCATTGCACTTGCACCGCCCCCCGACCTGGAACTCACCCACGGCATAGTAGTATGAAGACAAGCCGGTCCCGCCATCCTCCTCCTCATTGTCCCGGCCCCCCAGCTCTCGGAACAAATGGGGGCGGCTGAAAATGACCCGGATGTCCGTAGCTGTCACCCAGTCCTGGAGCACTGGGCTGTTATCAAAATCTTGGGCGGAGGGCCGTCCGTCCAGCGTGCTGAAGGCAATGAGGCCCCCAGTGAGTGGGTACAGATCTGTGTGGCCATCAGTGCAGAGCGCCTCCTGCTCATTTTGCTTGGTGACGGTGGCTTTGTTGGGCTTGCCGTAGATCTTCCGGCACTGGGAGGAGTAGTACTGGTAAGGCACCCAGGTCTTACCATAATCCATAGATTTTAAAATGGCCGCTGACTCAGGCCGGGGCGAGCAGAACTGCAGGCTGACGTAAATCACCTCAAACTTCTTGGCCAGGGAGAGGGTGAGCGTGACGTTTTGAGGGGAAAGGTGCAGGCTCTCGGAGCGCCAGCATGTCATGTTGGCGGCAGTGTTGAGGTCGGTGAGGTAAGATGCCGGGTGGGCTTTGCGGGGGTCTGAGGCATCGCAGTGGCGAGTGGGAGGCTTCCCACACGTGCTGGAGGCCTGCACTTCCTTCCCAAAGGCGGCATTGACAAACTCGGGGATGCAGCGCCGGGGGGCGCTGTTCTCATCGTAGCAAGGGTCAGATGCAGTTTGCTGCACCACAAAGGGGTTGATTGTCTGGGACAGGCCGAACACACAGGCACTAAGCAGCAGCCGTAAGAGGTGCAAGAGATCCATCCTCGCCGGATAAGCTCTCTCCAAGACACACAAGCCAAATCCTCCCTAAACATAAAGCAAAGGAGCAGTGAATCACACATTCCAACCCCCAAGGTCTGAGCTCCCTTTCAGCAGGTAGAAGCGCAGAGGCCAAACCAGTGTTTGGAGGCTGGCTGGGGGTTATGCTGGTGTCAGATGGCAGAGAATAGCCAGAGCTGATTGATTGGCTATTGTCAGTGCTGGCGAGCATGCAGAGGTCTGAGTCTGATGACATCTCTCCTTTGGGTGCCTTTCACCCAGATTGTAACCACGGAAAGCAGCCAGATCTCATTTAGATTGGGGGGGGGGCAGGGTTCTCAGTAACACGTCATTTATGATTATCTCCCTGCTCCATAAAATAGCTTCACAGACAGCTGGATAGATAGCATACGGGTCTGTGGGTTAAGGGAGGAAGGGTGGCCTTATGGTGCAGACAATGGGCTGGGAGTCAGACCACTCTGGTTATTTTCCTGGCTCTGTTAGAAACTAGCTCTGTCTCCTCGGCCAAGTCACATAACCTTTCCATGCCTAGGCTCCCACTGGTAAAATGGAAGTCAGAATATTCCCCTCCTTCCTGGTGGCACAGGGAGACTGGTGTTTCTAAGGCACTTTGATAGCCTCCTCTAGAAGGTGCAAAAAAATTGCAAAGTATCATTAAGAGAAGAAGACAGTGAGTAACTGCCAGCGCTACTCGATATGTTAACTTTGGCGACACATGTACACTGCGTCATACCGGTAAAGTCATTAACACTGAAGATAATCACACATTCAGAGCTGCTAAAGGTAGGAGCACAGGCCCAGGTCCTCAAAGGGATTTGGTGCCTAGCTCAATGGGAGTTAGGTGCTTAAACACTTTTGAGACGCTTGGCCATAGTGCTGTAGGAAGGGGCTCTCACTAACTGGGGACTGGCACCTGGCAACCTGGATTCTATTCCCAATTCTGCCACTGACCTGCTGTCAGACCTTGGCCAACCATTTACCCCGCTCCTGGCCTCAGCTTCTCCATCTGTAAAATTGGGGTAAGGATACTGCCTTCCTTTAAGGCATTTTGAGAGCTATGTGTGAAAAGCAGTTCATAAGAGCTAAGCCTGATTATTATTAATCACTCTGTTGTTACCTTCACCACTGTCGTGTCTGAGCACCTGCAAAGTACACTAAGCGCCTCTGACAACACACAGAGATTCTGTCATTCTGTGTTTTCGCCACACTTGTTCAGCCAGCCAACAAAACCAGTTTGAATTGCACTAAGAATTCCCAGTGAGGAAGCAGCTGATGCTACACTGCAGTATCTAGATTCCGGTGGGCTGCATCAGCCCAGGTTGCTTTCCTGACCCCAATTCAATGCTCCCCTAGCATTTTCTCACTGTCCATTCACACTGCTCTGCTCCCTTTCCCTCCAGCACCAGTGTCAATCTTTCAATTACTCCAGAACTTCTGATGTCCTTCTCTCCCCCTGGCCCCGGACAATGTGCTCCTGCCTCAGGCAGGGTGAGAATGCAGGGATTTAATTAGCTCCTAATGCCCCCAGGAGGGGAGCCAGCCAGCTTCCAAACTCTGTGTCCCACATCAAAGTCAGAGGGGGAGGTGTGAACACACCAGAACTGAGCAGAGCCTGCTGGGCAGCCATTCTCTGAGAGAACAGGGCATATCCCACCCACTGCAAAGCCAGGGCCAGAGTTTATTCTCTGAGTGGGAAGTTAATCAAGCCATTTCCTTCCCTCTTCCCTCACCCTGCCTTTGGCTCTCCTGATAGTCACCCATCCTCAGGCTGGATCTCCAGGAGAACCCTGTGTGAATATAATGGAACGTCGATGAGGGGGTGACAGGGTGGGGCATTTTTATACTAGTAAAAGCCTTTTCTACAAGACCTCCATGCAGTTAGTCCAGAAGAGAGTGTGTTTGCTGGGCTAGCTTATCTCACTGGGGACCTAGTAGAAGCTGTGCTGGCAAAAGCTCAGTTGTGCCCGTAGAAGCTACGCCTCCATTAGGAGGGTTTGCTGGTATAGCTACCCTGGCAAACCTTTTCTATTTGCCTTTGGCTCTTCGGTGCCCTCCATATCTATCTATCTGGCCCCATCACTGCAGTGAGCTGAGTGCCTCAGCATCATACTGTATTTCTCCTCAACAGCCACGCGGTGAGGTAGGGACTATACACGAGGCCTTAGTGAAGCAGTGACTGTGAGGAGCACAGAGTGGGGAGAACCCACTACAGCAGGGGCAGCCCAGCTTCTGATGCACTGACCCCTCACACCATGTGACACTAATGCCAGGGTGCCTTTCTCTGTCACAGTCAAGCTGTGTTCAGCCACGCGCTGGGCTTGTTTTTAGTGTGGCGGGTTGACTCTAGGCTTGGAAACATTCTCCCACCGGTGCTAACCCTGGGGCAGTCCCATGTTAGCAATGGTGGGAGCCCTAGTGTAGACAGGGCTGCTAGCCTCTGTCTGTGTTTTAAGTCCTATGGATATACCTACACTGCAAAGAAAAATGCCCAGCACTGAGTCTCAGAGCCTGGATCAATTGACTTGGGCTTGCGGGCTCAGGCTGTGGGGTTAAAAATAGCTGTGCAGATATTCTGGCTTTGAGAAAGCATGAAGGGGAGGAAAATATCAGTGAACATGGCAGGGTGCGGGACAGAAGAGTCATGCAAATTGTGACATTCATGAATGTGCTTGACATGTAACAACCGGCAATATCATTGTGTGTAAGTCTGCCCATGAGCATGTAGAAAATTAAATCCCATGCTTGGGTGAGCAGGATAGTGAAAATGTTTTATGTGATGTCACAGAAATGACACGCATGCCCGTCTAGCTCTCACCTTTGCCATCAGTGGGCAAGCTGAACCAGGGGAAGCAATGCTGAGAGATTTAAGCAGAAATTTTCTATTGTACAGGAGGCCCATGAAAGAGAAACGTTCAATGCATCTAAAGGGTGAGCTTGCCCACTCTAAGATCTACTTCTACAGGAAACCATTGATGGCTAGATTGGCCAGCAGTTCAGGACAGGTGATTTGGTTTATTTTACATTTCAGATAAGTTGGATTAACCAGGAACCATGGAGTAGTGCATGTAGCTAATCTATGTAACCACTGGATCTTACCTTCTTCATCCTCAATCTCCTTCCCCACTTCCCATCTTTTGTTTAGCATGTTCATCTTGTTTCACTCTAGGTTTAATTTCTTCCATGCAAGAGCCACGTCTGTCTGTGTACAAACATGCAGCACCTAGCGCTATGGGACGCTGAGCCTGATGAAGGCTTTTGGAAGCTACCTCAATATAAGCAATATATAATAGTGCTAACAGTGACCTGACAAAACAGTGCAACAGGGCATGACAAACAGGGCTGTGGTGCAGTGATACTTCATAGACGTTATGCCCAGTGCATACTAACCAATGCCCTGCCATTCCTGCTGCTGCGTCTGCCTAAGGCCCCCGCTGCATTCCCTGTTACTTCAAAGTCCCTGTGGCTGCTGTCCAGAACCAACAGAACATTTTCTGTTACCCTGAGGTTCCTGGGCAGGGTCAGAGGTGGCAGATGAAGCTGGGAGGGGAGAGTGGATGAAAAAAAGCCAACAAAAGTGTTTGCCAAATTGAAAAGGACAAAAAATCAACTGGAATCAAACGTTCCTTCTTCTAAAAGAAGAGTATGATTAACAGGCCAAATTCTACTCTTGATTATACCAGTGCAGATCTACAGTAACTCCACTAGTTTAATGGAGTTATTCTGGATTTACATCCAGACAGCTGAGATCAGCATCTGGTCTAAGTAGAAATGAAATGAGAGAGAGAGAAATCTCAATCCTCGGAGATGGATTCTTCCACCCCGCATCCTAGAATAACCATGTAACAAGACATCTTGACTTTGTATCACTCCACTATGACATTGCAACATCCCCCTGTTACGGCTTGAAGATGTGCTGATGTGCTATTGGCTTTGAAGATGCAGCAAGAGGCATTTAAACTTTCAATGGCCCTGCCAAAACTGGGACTGTCTTTTGAAATAGCAGGACAAGCAACCATGTCACATCCCCAGCTCTGGAAAGACAGTGCTGCCTCGGGGAGCTGGTGTTTGCTCCTGCCAAACTTGGGCACTTTCCTCTTAAAAGGAGTTTTAGGAAAACAGAGATACCAGCTGTGATAAATGAGAGGGGGGATAGCTTCCTTTTGTGGACACCCAGCCAGCCAGTTGGCTATGGAATCCCTCTTGGTGGTTGTTCTCTGCTCGCTTTACCTGTAAAGGGTTAACAGAGTCCCCCAGGTAAAGGAAAGGGAGTGGGCACCTGACCAAAAGAGCCAATGGAAAGGCTGGAACTTTTTAAAATGGGAAAAAACTTCTCCTTTGTCTCTGTTGTGGTTCTCTGGGAAAGAGGGGAACAGGGAGCAGTTATGCTATGAGAAGCTTTAAGCCAGGTATGATGATAAATCATCAGATCATACCTAGAACTACTTATTTGGAAACCCCAAATGTATAAGTAGATCAGGAATGTTTGGAAAGACGTGATTAGTTTATTTCTGTTTATTTCTTATGGCTAGTGGACTCCTCTGTGCTAACCCCAGATGCTTTTTGTTTTGCTTGTAACTTTTAAGCTGGACCTCGAGAAGGTTATTCTTGATGTTTAAATTTTGTAAGTCGTTTTTTTAAATCTAGCAAAAGCCTAAGTTCCAGATATATTTTCTTTCTTTTTGTTTTTAATAAAATTTACCTTTTTTAACAGGATTGGGTTTTTGGTGTCCTAAGAGGTTTGTGCATATGTTGTTAAATTAGCTGGTGGCAACAGCTAATTTCCTTTGTTTTCCTTTCTCAGCTCTTCCCCTGGGGGGAGGGGCGGGTGAAATGGCTAGAGGGTACCCCACAGGAAGGAATTCCCAAGTGCGCCTTTCTGGTTTCAAAGGGTTTTTTTGCATTTGGGTGGTGGCAGCATGTACCCATCCAAGCTCAGAGAGAAACTGTAACCTTGGGAGTTTAATACAAGCCTGGAGTGGCCAATGTTAATTTTTAAAATCCTTGCGGGCCCCCACCTTCTGCACTCA